CCCCCCCCCCCCCCCCCCCCTGCCCCCGCAACACGAAAAACAATAGCAGTCAAGCCAGCAAGAATAGACATTCTCTAGAAATTTCGAACCACTGCACCTCCACCGCAAGCTAGGCTGACCACAGCAGTCATTACAACTGACACATGAGCGCTATGTCGCCAAACGAGAAAAGCACACGTGTACTTACGCGGATGACACGACAACTTAACTGTCATGAAATCACTCACTCGTCAAATAGACAGAAAAAGAAAAAGAAAGACACATGCATGCAGCATGGGTGTACGTACGTGTGTAGACTACCAAAAACACGGGCACTTTTGCTGTGGTGGCGGTGGTGAACAAGCACAACATCAACCCATACCCAAACGTAGATGAAAATAGTAGCTGGACCCCGATGAACACCGCCCCGCCCCGCCCCCCCGCATGGCAGAACAAATGACGACAATGCCCACAAGACAGACGACACTATAAAAACACACACGATGGATGCGTTGCGACTAGCTGGCTGCGCCTTTTGGAAAGGACGGCCGTGATTGGGCACTGTATGCCTTCGACTGTCCATGCCCGTCAATGCTTCCGGTACCACGGCAACCCTTCGCACACGCACAGAGCGCTCTGCTGATGATAGCGCTTCGCGCGCACACAGCGGTTTGATGATATTGGGCGGCACTCTGCGCGGTAAATACGACCGTGATGGCCGTCTCCACGGACGAGAGCATCATTCCAAACGGGAACAAGACTAGGGCATACATACCAAACCACCACAGTGGGTAGCGAGTTTTGGAAAACATGCAACCAATCAGCAAGCAGCCTTCAGAGCAAGGAAACATTTTTTACCAGGTACACAAGAAGAGTCGAATAAGTTACGTACGTACGTAACGATATCATGGGCGGAAGGAGGAGCTACACCCGCATGTTCTAGGAGCTACAACCAACCAACCCAGCCTCCTGCGTTCATCCACAGATACATCGCAGCCGCATCAAGGAACTTCGCAGCTAAGCGCTTCATGCCCAACAACATTGTATCGAACGCCAGCACCGTTTGTTGACCCTGTGGTAAAGTACCCCTACACTGTAATAGCGGTAATTTGTAGCCCACAAGAGCCTCCACCAAAACTACGGCTTCTAAAGCAGCGCGGATGCTATCTGTAGAAGTATTAGCGCTGTCACCTCACTCAACCATCCACCTTAGGGCCGACTTTGCTCGTCTCGCTACCACCGGACCCTGCGAGGGCAAGCAGCCCCGAAAGGCACGTCGTCACGATCGCCACCGACACCCCGAACGCGATGGCGTACGCGGTGTCGTCGGACATGCCGTCGTCGCTGCTGTCGCTGTCGTTGTCGCTGTCGCCGCCGGCCGGAGTGGCATCGTTGCTGTCGCTGTGTTTGTCGGTGTCATCGCTGCTGCTGCCGGTGATGTCGTCATCGTCGCGCTGGTTAGCGTCGCCGTTCTCGCCGCTGCTGGAGGTGGTGTCCCGGCCGTCGCCGTTACCGTGCCCGCTGCTGGAGGTGCCGCCACCAGCGCCGCCGCCGCCGCCGCCGCCGCCGCTGCTGCTGCTGTCGTCGTCGCAATCGTCGCTGCTGCTGTCATTGCTGTCGTCCCTCAGGTCTTCATCGTCGCCATCTCCTCGGTAGTCCACCGGAGCAGCCGCATTGTGGGAGTCATCGCTGCAACACGAAGAGCGGGACATGAAAACAAGTTTGCGCCAGACAAGCAGAGCCGTAGGTTCCACATACGACGTCGTGTCTTGGCGGAAGACATGGAAACAGTTCATTCTTAACAAACTTTCCACAGAACAAAATAGTAGCAATCGGCTCCATACACCATGTCGTCTCCTGGCAAAAGATAAAAACACTGTTCACTGAACATATTTTCCGCGAGACAAACAAAGCACAGAGCAAAACATTGAAACACGAAAAGAAACGGCGGAAACGATTCACCCCGACACGTCGTTTCCGCGAGACAAAGCCGGAGGTTCCATATGTGACGCTGTCTGTTGGCGGAAGACATCAAAACAATGAACTCTAAACGAAAAAAATCAGCGGAACAAACAACGCGCAGAACATGAATCACGAAAAGAACGGTAAAAACTACTATCCATATCGGGGTGACGCCTAGCAGGTTGTGTTGCCAGTAATGTGGTGGTGTCAAGAGTGTTGGTCAACAGCACATGAAGACGTGACATGCCGGCAAGGGGCGACCCTACATGGCCAGTATCTATTGTGTAACACGCAGGCGCAATCGCTCTGGAATAAACCTTTTTGTACGAAGGAGAGGTGCGCCCCGGATTCCCCAACACTGCTTGCTGTGTGAAACAATGGCTGGTTATACCGTACAAATGACCCATGTGTTCGCCTCAATTCGGTTTGTCGGGTAGGGCGGTGTTCAATAGAGGGGCCAGACTTCTGCACGAGGGAACAATTATCTACTGCCTAGAACGCGAACCACGTTCCATTTTCTCTCCTCTTCTCTGCATCGATTCATCAAACGCAGAAAGAGTCACAGCGCCGAAAACGGCGTTGAGTCCGTCTGGTTGAGAGCTCTCCGAATACGTACCATTTCGGTTATGCATCCCCTTCGTGGAGAAATCGAGCTGTAACAATCGGTCCATAGGGTGTGTAAACGTGTATTTTACACGGTGCACAGTGCTGCTGCCTACAAACACTCACGAGTCTGAGTCGATAGAAGGAGTAGGGGCCGGCGTGGGCCCAATGTCCGGATTCTTTTCCGTCTCCTCCTCTGTTGTGCACGCCTTCACCCTGAACGATCACCCCCACCCCCGTCATGACGTCATCATGACAAGCGATCG